GGGAGCCGGCATCTCCCGAGGCCGTAGGGCCCGCTCGCCGGCCCGGCCCGGCCCGGCCCTGAGATGGCGAGCGTCGGGGGCGGCTTCTGCAGGGCTCGGCCGTGTCTCGGTCAGCCGCTCACGGCTGCGGCTCCGGGGCGTGACAGAATCCCGAGCTGAGCTGCTGTCGGTACTGTGAACACTGGGCCCCTGCCTTGTAATGCGCTGGGCACGGCCTGCCGTGCATTGCCTTAGGTTTTGGCCTCAGCCTCCAGCAGACGTATCCAAACTGATGACTCCGGTTGCAGAAGAAAAACTTCAGAACGGAGTTCTAGTTTAAGAAAAAACAACAAACAAACCAACAGCCAAAAGAGAAGCCCCAAACGCGTTTGTACTGTCTGGAGAACCGTGTTTATTCTCATCTTCATTTGTAAATTCTGCCGTTTCTTATTTAAGAACCTTACCTTGGCTAAGAATTTACTCAGTGTGGAGATATGTTCGTTCATGGCAGAAGTTAGAGTTGCAGCTCTGTGTTGAGTACCCGTGAAAAACTCTTAACTGTACTGGTGAAAGCTAATTTAGGGGACTTCGCTTTATTCCGTCGCACAGCATCATGCAAATGTAGCTGAAAGCTGTAAAGAATCATAATCTTACTCAGACTTGGGTGGTACTGGATATATTAAGATACGCTAAAGATCTAGAGAATCTAAGACATAGAAAATATCTTCAGAATTAAGACCTGATATCATAATTTCAAGTGTAGACAAAATTCTAAATTCTTCTTTGTGATTTTGAATACAGTACAATACATTGCTTTTAAAATATGTATAAAAATGAGATTATGTGGAATTAATATATACCCTTATAAATACTCATAATTTTTAATTAATCCCTGTGCAGTAGTAGTTAACTTTGACTTTGGGTTCCGTCAATAGAGTAGCAGAACAGATTCTACTCTGCAGATCTTGTAGAATCTTGACAGTGTAGCACCTGCTAAGCCACTACAAACAAGTTATGAGAGCCTGACATTATGTTTGGGAGCTGATTTAATATCTGCTATCTGGTTGGCAAATTTCTAAATACTTAATTGAAACTCTGGATTTCTCCAGTACTATAAGGAATGAAAAATAAAAAGGAAATTTTCAGGGAAACATTGTTACAGCAATTTCAGGTGGGTAGGTCCTTAAGTTAAAGATGTGGTGTGAAGTATGTAATGAGAAATTCTTTAGGAATTCACTTTTAAAGGGCTCATTTATTTGTCTTTCTGGTGCATATTACTAATTTGTTAGGTTTTATTACACTTTTTGCCCTTTTTTTTGCCCTTTGAACAAATTTTTCTATTAGCTTTGAATCCTGTTTTTAGGAAAAAGATTTTTGATGTTGCTCTTAACAGGGTAAATAGCACTAGGTTTTTATTACTCGAGATTTCTGGAAACCCATAGGTGGAAAAGTTCCGTACCTTTAAGGCAACTAATGCTGAAGCTTTCAAGCAACCTTTTACTAACATTTTCATCAAATATTCAAGTTTCATATTTTAAAATAAAAGCCACTTGTGTAAAAATCCTTTCCGTGTATATGTTCAGAGCTCTTAGTTTCCTTTTTGCTGTGATTGAGCTTTCCAGTGTGGGCTGGTCCTAAAGGGAGCAATTAGAAGTAAAAACCGCTATTTCACAACAAAGGCACAAATTGCTATTTTTGTGCATTGCAAACTGTCCCTCATACCCACTCCCACTGTGTAGAATGTCAGTCTGGAGGGTTTGCTTTCAGCAGAAGCACTGAAGCAAGGTAAACTTCACTGTATGCATTTCAAAAGGAGGAAGGAAGGTATAAATTGCTTCTGTCATCACTTGAATACATGAAATATAACTTATTTCAGATCTTATTTGGGCTTAAATTATTCCTCCAGCACGACAACACCTTGAGGACACAGCAAAATCTTTAACCTAACAGGGAATTTTCACTTCTATTGCAGCATGTGTTGATGAACTTAAGGGGCTCGATATTGTGAATATTGACTGATTTAAATTTTCCTTTTGTGTCATTGTGGTTATATTAAGATTTGTAATATAAAATGATACAGCTTCTTTTTAAAAAAAGTACCAACAGAACACCCTGTCATATTCTGGAGCATACTGAAATGTCACGGAACTTACTGGTTTTTTCAGGACAGATGGAAGTTTTGTGGTTCATGATGTACCTTCAGGATCTTACGTAGTGGAAGTTATATCCCCTGCTCATAAATTTGATCCTGTGCGAGTTGACATAACTTCAAAAGGCAAAATGAGGTGAGTCTTTTCTGATTTACCACTGTATTGATGAATTATGTGACAGCACAGTGTAAGAACTCACAGAAGCTGTTCTGCAGGTCTGATGTTCTGTCTCAGACTGTGTCAGCTTTTAGCATCGCTTCTAGAAGCACATTTCTCAGATTACAAAGTCTGATATCTTTCTTCCTTTCAGATTTATGACCCAAAATAAGAGAAAAGACACTTTAAAAGTTCATCTATTAGTTTGCTTTTATTATTTTTTATGCAGCTATCCTGAAATAAAATCTAGACACTTTAAAAGTTCATCTATTTGTTTGCTTTTATTATTTTTTATGCAGCTATCCTGAAATAAAATCTAGGAATAAACTAGTTCACTGCTTTATTATTTGTCAACACTTTTTTTCCCCCCTTCTTCTCTTTTCCTTTTCTTTAATAAATGTACTATCAGTACTTGGCACAACAAAATTTTTAAATATTTCTGTTGCACCTCCATAGGACACTTGTTACAGTTACTGGTTAATTAGTACTAGCACTTGCCAGTTTGCATTATTTCTGTAGAATTGTTGGCTTGTTTTCATGTTGTGGCCAAACCACTCTTGATTGTAACTACAGACTATTCAGTAATACAGAAAAATCTATCAAGGCGATTTTCATTTAAATGAAAATGCTCTTAGTTAATTTTTCCTTATTCAAGCCCACACATTGCATCTTTACTTCTAGGAATACAGTCATCAGTGTAAATACTCCTGCAGTATATTTAGGGGAGGTTAAAAAATTGAAATCTCACTGAAAACAGTGCAAACAGTCTGTTTATAATAATAATAATTAATATAATTATATTATAATATGATTATAATATGTAATTGCAGTCATATTATAATAATGTTTGAGCTTATCATAAGATCAGGCAGTTTATTTGAGCTTAGGGTTTTCCAGACTCTATGGAATTATTTTTTTATAGTTTGTTAGTATCTTACTGGCAATAATTAATATGTAACAAATACAGAGATATAGGCTAAATATTTGGCATTGCCTCACGCTTAGCACTGTTTGTGTATCTAAGGGACTAGTAAGGTAACAAATTTGATGTAGAGTAAATTGCTGGGATACATGTGCAGAGGAATGTAGCAGGAGGCTTGGCATCTCTACCAGTCCAGCAGATAGAAACTATAATGAGGAATGCAGGTGAGGAGTCAGAGATGCATGAAAAACAATACTTGGGGAAAATGTCGACAGGGCTTTTCTAAGGGATGTGCTGCATTAAAAAATTATGGTAATAATTAGAAAGAGGAAACAGCATGTGGATAATAGATGTATTTGATAAGATCTACTTGAAAATACCAAGTTTTGAAGAAAACACATAGTCATAAGGTAGGAGGGAAGGACATTCTATAGATGAGTATTTGGTGAAAAAAATCACAAGGAATAAATTATTTTTGGAGAGAAATCCATCCCTGGAGTTGCACAAAGTGGATAAATATTCATCATGAAAAATGGGTCAAGACTGACAAAGATGTTGGTACTGAGTAATTGTCTAAATCTTAGGCCCAAATGGAGAATACTAGTGATGAACTGTGAAAAAACTTATGATGTAATAAAGACTGAGATTAAGTATTGATTAATGCAGACTAATGCACTTATGGAAAATGTATTAACTTCTCAAGTAGGTGGTGTCCTGAGAAAACTGGTTAAACTACACTACACTGTTCAAAGCTGGCCCCTAAACAGCATAGTTTTTCTTGCTTGTTTACAAGGTGACAAAAAATGGTTTGCTTTTGATTCCATAAAATATGCTGCTGAGAGAAATTAGCTTTTCCAAAGTGAAGCCTAGCAGACACTGCATATCAAATGGTTTTATTTGTAGTCTTTTATTGAAATTTGTTTGGATTTTTTAAAAGATTCTATGTTTATATCCTCAATTATTTACATTTTGCTTCATAGAGCAAGATATGTGAATTACATCAAACCCTCTGAAGTTGTCAGGCTGCCATACCCACTCCAGATGAAATCTTCTGGACCACCTTCATACTTTATAAAGAGAGAATCTTGGGGATGGACAGATTTTCTCATGAACCCTATGGTATGTACAGGCAATTATTACAAGTATGCTAAGGATCCAAATACAGCTGTTTGTCAGAATGCCAAGAATAAAACAATTGAGTAAAAACATGCATTTTTCCTTTGTTCTTCTGAGAGGATTGCTTTCCTGGATTTTACTTGCTTACAAATGGGAAGTTTTTCTTTGACATCTCCTCCCCTGTATACCACTGTTAATGTATGTCCTCTGAAAATAGACTGTAGTCTCTTCTTTGACAATGTGATGCTGTTCTAGTAGTACAGAGATCAACATATTGCAAAATTGTCATTACAACAGGTATAAGAGAGAATAACCATTTGCCTTATCAGTCCAACTTTGAAAACTTGTTTGAAGCACAATACTCCCTTAGCAGGTTTCATTCCTGACAAGTGTTGCTGTCTTACTGATTCAGAATGCAGTAGTTCTAGAGTTTGGCTGTTTAGTAGAGCTTCATTTTATTTTAGTAGGTCTAAAAGTGTTTAGAGCAACAACTAAGCTGAAGAGGTTGTTCCCTGTTTTCTCTGTAGGTGATGATGATGGTTCTTCCATTACTGATATTTGTGCTTTTGCCTAAAGTTGTCAACACCAGTGATCCTGATATGAGGCGGGTAAGTGCATTCAATTGATGCGTATGGAGAGACCAAAGATAATGAGATTTCAGGGCACACAAATCTAATTAAAACAAAACTGTACTTCAAAGGAAGACTTAATGGGCATCATTTATTCAGCTAATAACAGTGTTGCTGTTTTAGCAATGAGTCATTTAATAAGTATCAAGTGTGTTGAGGAGAGTGTGATGTGGGGTTTATTTGCACTTCAGCCTAAACCACAGTTTTCTACACTGTGAAATCCAGATGTCACACTAGTATATATGCATATGGAGTCTTAATGTCATCATTAAATGATCTGATTTATTGTCCTTTCATCATGCAACATACTGAATGTTGCATGACAAAATGGAGATTCAAGGTGTTTGCTAAATTTTTATATCTTTTAAATACTTTAACAAGTATTATTTGCCTGTCATAGGTGGCTGCTTTTTGAAGGCTTGGTTAACTAAAAACTCCTTTTTCTGTAAATGACCAATGTCTTCAGTAGTACTTTATAGGTGTCTGAGTATTTTTTTAATAAGTAAGAACCTTTAAAAAGCATATCAGAGCTGTATAATGCTCTTTTGGCTATAATTTTAATTTAAAAACAGATACAAAGATATGCTAGGTATTCATGGCACGTTCTTCAAACCAAGCTGAACTCTGGAAGTAGGATTTTAAAAAAAGATAATCACATATTCCTTACTTTTTTCACTGATCTGACACTGCTGATAGGCTGTTCTGATGGTAAAACCATCAAAGCTTCTGATAATTTAGTTCTTATCAGATAACTGATATGACTTCTTAAGGAGAAATTTTTTTAAGTTGGAAGAATTTTGCTTATAATTTATCTTTAAAAATTAGGAAAAAGTTGTCTATAAGAACTAAATTATAATGGCATTCTCTGGGTGACCATGTATTAAATAGTTAACTTATGGAGGTTGTATGATGTTTTTCAAATTAACTTGTTATTTCTTTCTGGAATCAGCACAGTACTAGTTTATATAGAAAGTTTAATGATTTAGTAACTGTGCTTGTTGTAGAGGTGTTGTGTAGATGTAGTAGCAACAAAGGCTACTAAAATGCCTTGTAAGCACTTAAAGATCTAATATTCTGAATGGGAGAAGAACAAGGTGACAATCCCACGTGAAACTCACTATTGCTATAAGTATTATCCCTTTGTGGATGTGCAGTTCAGCTGCTGTATGCATTAAAAGTACTTCAGAATTGGTTTATTTCAAAATGTGCTAATTCATCTTATAGAACCACTGTGCTAAACCCTAAAGTTACATTAAGCTTACCTGGATATATGGTCTTATATTAAAAGCCTTTTTTCCCTGAAGGAATGAAAACTCAGCTGCAGTACTCTAGTAGCTTGGTGTCAGAAAGTAGGGCAATAAAAATATCTAATCCCTTCAAACAGCATCAAAAATTTGTTCATTTGCTATAAATAATACTAATTTGAAAAACAAAACAAAAAGTATGACATCTATGAGAACACGGATCTGAATATCTAAACAATAGCCTAAATTTTAATATGGAGAAAAGTAGTGCTGAAAAGAAATAATTTTTATCTTTTAGATTTATTTTTTTTTTATCAGATGGTTGCCCTGCAAGACTGTTTAAGACATGGTTACCATTTTCCATACACTGCAGCTTTTAGTTTTGGGGTTTTATGTTTATTTGTGTATGTAGCTGGATGTTGGGCTGTGGTTGCATAAAACTATGTAGCTATATCCTGGAGGACTACAAAAAGTAAAACAATATTTGGGAAAATTTGGTATCTCTCTCATACAGTCTTTCAACTGATGCCTTAGATACAGCCAGAATTGTTACAAGCTATTAAGATTATCTGATCTTTGCATGCAGGAAATGGAGCAGTCAATGAACATGCTGAATTCCAACCATGAGCTGCCAGATGTGTCTGAATTCATGACAAGACTTTTCTCTTCAAAATCTTCCAGCAAGTCTGGTGGTAGCAGCAGTAAAGCAGGGAAAAGTAGTTCTGGAAAAAGGAGGTAGTTAAGTTTTCCTCCTAAGTCTGAATTTGCATAGCTGTTTGTTGCCATGTGGTGTCATGTTTATTTGTCTTGGAAGATCAAAAAGCCACTACTGTAAACTTTAACCAGGCACAACATATGTTATGCTACAAGTGTGGTTTGTAGCTTTTTTTAGACTGTATAAGCTGTTTTGTACTTGACAGTAAGCAAAAGATGACATGGCTTCAATACTGTATCTGTATAAAGTTATTGATGACACTGAATTAACTATATTGTTCTGTAGAGAATTAAAATAAATTATACAATGTGCTTCACAGTAATAAATATCTCAAGACAATGTATAAAAAAATTTCAAAGATAATAGAAGTGGAGTTCAGTTTTAAGATGTCTTTAATGTTTTGCACTTGTTGAGTTCCAAAATGAACAAATCATCCTTTCAAAATGGAGTTGTGAGTTTACTGGGTAAGTAATTTGCTGTATCATCTTGTCACATGTTACATATAAAATCATTTTATTTTATGCTGTTTGCTGTCTGTACAATTTACAGAATCACAGAGCGGGTAAGGTTGGAAGGGACCAATGGGTCTTCTGGTCCGATCTCCCAATCAGGGTCATCCCAGAGCACACAGCACAGGATTGCATCCAGATGGTTCTTGGATATCTTCAGTAAGGGAGTCTCCACAACCTCTCTGGGCAATCTTTAGTTCAAAGATTTTTCCACTATATATTGCCCAGTTTTACTCTGATCTACTTTTGGCTAAAAACTCTTCAGGAGGAAAGAAAGCCAAGTATCTTGCATGAGGAAATCATTTAAACTGCCAAGATCTTGAATCTTTCTTTTCTAAATTACATGTATCACTTCTGTGACACTGAGGGTTCTTATGCGTTCTGTGCTTTCAGCTTACCAGTGGAATTATTTGAGGCCACATACTGAATTTTAAATTAAGTTCAAATTAACTAATTTTAAAATGAAAGAAAAGAACTTAAGGTGTAGTAGGAAGCTAAATTATTTTCATCTTATAAATTATGTTCCAAAGTATATGGCTTTCAAGGAATGCTAAGTCACTGGCAGAACTTTGCTGAGCATGCCTGTTTATCTCTTATACAGGATCTATTCAAGCTACCAGAGAAAAGTTGAAAAAACTGGTTGTTTTTCACTAGTTGAACATTTGCAAATTAAAATGACAGCAGACCTGCCAAACACTATTAGCAACAGTCCATAATTTTATTTTATTTTTGTCATAAATGCTGTTCTTCATCTTTACAGTTGGTAATTTCTTAGGTAACAGTGTTATGCAGCATAGATAATGTGTCTCTGCTTCCAAAAATGGTATTTAACATCCACTTACAGTACATCTGAAGCAAAATCAATTCTAATGCATGTATTTGTAGCAGAAGAGGGCTATAAATTTTCTTATAATACATACTTAGAAGTTATGCTGGGGTACATAAAAGTTGCAAGAGACTAAATATTCATTCATAAGATTAAGTCTATTTTTAAGGTGTTGAAGAAGAAATAACCCAATATTTTCTGTGGACAATGAAAGATTTCACTCTGCAAAGTAAGCTGCATGTTTTTGCTCTCTTTTTGTTTTGTTTGAATGGTCTTTTTGTTCCACACAGCAAGGAAAATATTTTTAGTGGAGACAAGAAAATATTTTGATACTCTTGCTGGAAGGATCTACTGAAATAAATGTCAAGTTGCATTGGTGGAGAAAAAAAAACAAACTTAAAAAAAAACCTCTTTCAGAAGTATCTTATGAAAAAAATATGTGAAAAACAGAAAGGAATTCTTTGAAGATGGAGCAATTAGCACTGTTACTGGGCTATCCTGGAAAGTACAAGCCAGGAGTTACTTTTTTTTAACAGTAATTGAAATAACAATTGAATTGCATTAGCTTATCATACTGATGCATTTTTCCATGTTAGGAACATTGTAAAATTCCAAAGGTAGGAACTAATAAAAAATTCCAAAGGTAGGAACTAGTATTTCTGCCTTCTTTCATGGTGTCTGTTCACGTTCTTGATTTGTCTTCTAGTGAGAATGGAGAATTCAGGCCATGAAAAGGTGAAAGTCTTTGTTAAAAGCTCAGAGTGAAAAAGTTCACAGGAATTATAAAGTTCATAGTAAAACTTTGGAATGAACATATAGAATATTCAACACTTCTCTTTTTCTTAGGACTTTATATATGAAGATTGAGGCAGTTCCTTTGTGCATCAGGATCAGATGCAGTGTCCTGCTTTCAGAAAAATCCAAGCCCAAAAATCTTGTACGTTATTCCAACTCCTTTTCAGACACCTGTGTGATAAAAGCAATTTGTGGAAGTGTGTTAGTCTGCTGCTGAACTACTGGAAGTTACAAATTTTTTTCATTTTAGAGTGGAACCTGTGTGTCAAGTGAGCAAAGAGTTCTAGCCAGAGTGCCTTGGTCACTTATGGTCAGTTGGTCATTGCAGTTTAACCTCAGGCAATAGCCCAGCCCCACATAGCTTCTCAATCTCTTCCCCAGGTGGGGTGGGGAAGCGAGTCAGAAGGGTAAAAGGACATTTGTAAGTTGAGACAAAGGCAGTTTAATAGGGAAAGCAGAATCTGCAGACAGAAAGCAAAACAAAGAATTCACAACTTTCCATGTTGTTTGGCAGGAGTTCAGACATCCTCAGGACAACAGGGCTCCAGTGCACCTAATGCGTGCTTGGGAAGACAAAGCCATTACTCCAAATATTCCACTCTTCTTCCTCCCACTTTGTATGCTTACCATGATGCCATATGATCTGGAATATCCCTTTACTCATTTGGGGTCAGCTGACATGGCTGTGTCATATCCCAACTCTTTGTGCACCCCCAGGCCCCTTGCTGGTGGGGTGGGTTGAGGAGCAGAAAAGGCCTTGGCTCGGTGGGAACACTGCATCAGTAATGAAAATGTCTCTGGGTTATGAACACTGTTTCCAGCACAAGTCCTTAGCATGGCCCCACACCGGCCACTGTGAAAGCTGTAACTACCACAGTCACAACCAGCACAGTCAATTAAAGGTGTAATGTGACCTTGGGCTATCATAAATGCTGCTAGGCAAAACTTACTTGATCCTGTAGCAGTTATAATGCAAGGTTCAATTTCTGCAGAAAATAAATGCTGTAGTTCCGTTTTATTTCCTTACTTAAAGATTTTTGGAAGTCTTCTGTGTTAAGTCTGGCATCTCCATTTTCAAAAATAAACAAGAACTGCCTTTTAGTGAGGTTTCTTGAGATAACATAAGGCAGACTGTGAATTAAAACAACTGATTCCTCAGAACAGAAATTAAAGGTTTACTTGGTCTATAGACAAGCTGATTTCCTTATTGCCAAAAGGAGGAAGACATGCTCCCTCAGCTTGGACTGGATAATCCTGCTGCCTTCTGATTACAAGTTCGGGTACTTCTCAGGCTTTGTCATGCATTGATTTAGCAAGCAAAATTGGTTCATCAGTCTGCTGGAATTCTTTTATATTTTATCAGCTCAAAGAAGGATCAAAGAAATCCCAGAGCCAGCTGAAAGTAAGCACCAGAAACATTCAGTCAGAGGTAGGAATTCTCTGTTCCTGGCAGTGAGTGTGAGTAATACAATAAGCTCATTGCATCTTGAGGATTTGTGGCTGAAGAGCTCATTTAGGCCCGTTCTGAATGAGTGGGCAGCTGAGTTTATGACAAGCCATGTAGAAAGGAGAGGAGACATATTTTGCTGAAGTCTGTTTTAGCTATTAGTCATTTAAGATGGTCTGGAAGATGTCTGGAACAGTTTGAAATAATTTTACCAATTGCATCATCAAAGATGCTCACATTCTACACATATAAGGAAGAAATCTAATGTACAGCTATCTCCCTTTTGTTTTAAACTAAAAAATACTTGTTGGTGCTCTTTGTCTTTTTGATCCAGTGGAGATGAAAATGGCTGTGCAAATGGGGTGTGTATTGCTTCAGAGAGACAGGCTGGCTTGTGACTAAGACTTGCATTTGCGAAGGGAACTTTACTATCAAGTGCCTTGAGTTCAGATGCAACTGTCACACTGTACAAAACATCTATTATTTCTGTTTCAATTTCTTGTGTATGAGTTACGAGAAGCTTGTCACATAAAACTAATTGTGAAGATAAGTTTAGTAATGAATATTGAGTACTCAAATGTTGTGTTGCATTATATTACGAGAAATGGTTTATCCCTGTTGTCCGCCCTCTGGATCGGTGATGTGTTAGTTCCTTCCCCCATCACTCCTGCCCTTCAGTCTCTCCCCATTGTCAGTAACCTGCCTTCCCCCTCCCGCTTTCCCTCTGTTCAAAAGTTCGGCGCGAGCAATTCTCCGTCTCTTTCTGCCCTGGACTCGTTCGGATTAAAACTGTCCCGGGAAGAGAGAGCTTCCTTTGTCTTTTATCTCTGTCCTTGCCGATTTTCCCCCTCCACCCCGGGTGGACTGCAGCTAGCTGGAAGAATTCTCGGGGTTGAGAGCGAGGGAAATTTGACACTCAGATAAGTGTGGCAATGAGCTTACTGAAAAAAAATCCAGTATGTAATCTTGTTAAAGAGTATGTTTGTTAAGCATTATTGTGTAGGTCTTTATATGTATCTGTTAAAGCAGCCCTATCTAAGTAACTGCATGTCAAGATTTTGAACACAATCTGGGCAATTTAAGTACATAACATTTTCCAACAGTGAAAAGTGTATTAAATCACTAAGATCCATATCCATTTAAATATCTCCACTTGGGTGTTAATGTACTCTTAATTGCATAAAGGTCATGTGTGATTAGTTCAAAGAGGGCAAAGTTTGTTTTACAGCCTGATAGAAGGACCTTATAGTACTAAAGGGATTTGATTTTCATGTTTAAGACATCTCTGACCTTAATTTTATTGCTATTGGTAGTTAGTAGATAGTGAATTTTTATTCCTACAATTTTATGTTTCATTTGAGACTTACTTCTTTTAGGAAAATAACCAATATAAAATAAATAGTAACAAATGCTTTGTTGTTTTCATTCTGATGTGTCAGAATAAAATATGGATTTATATGGCTATATATTGTACTAATTTAACAAACTGGAGGAAAATGGAAATGTTTACATCTACTGTTGTTGGGCTAAGGAATATAGAAAAAAACTTAAAATTTTAAACTTCAAATCAGTTGAAAAGCAGATTTACTGAGTAATGTTAGAAGGTTGAAAAGATTACATAGATTTATCTTGCACATCCTTAGGCAGGAGAAGCACAAGAGGCACCTGTGGTGCACAGGACATTTGGAAGGTCCCACTTAATAGGCTTAATCATGGTCTATATCTCCAAAGGCTTGTTCCCAGCCAGGAACAGGCACAGAGGCCAGCTTGGCAGGAAGAACCCCTGTGCATGCTGTGCTTTCCAAAACAGAGCTCGGAGACTCTGTGGCTCAGGAGTCATTTATTGCCCTCCTAACTTTGTTACCATATCCAGGAATTACTGGAAGGGGAGGGACAATGTTGTTATTAGGCATATTCCAAAAATGTATTGACAGCTATTGCACAAGCTTAGTATTACGCATCAGCAGATTCCCATGTGTTGGGAATCAACACTGCCAACTTCCCACGGAAGTTCTCTGACAGTGTTTCATGTAGTAAGGTACTTGAAGCTATAATTAATTGTAAGGAGAAAAATTTGGAGAAAGCCCCCAAACGTAGAAGAAAATTTAAGTATTGCTGTCATGGCAACTCATTTAACTCAAATATTAAAGTTTGCAAATAACTAGCTGGAAGATGTTTCCATGACATTCTACAGACATTGTTTTCTAGGAGAAGGTAGTGTTGGCAAGTGACAAGTGAGCAAATGAACTGTAGTCTCAGCCTTTAGGAGAACACTGACTTCCTCTGGTATTTGCCAAATGGTATTTGCCTGTTACTCATGAGTGAAGAAAAAATCAGTTATCTCATGTTTCTTTCCATTTGGGAAAGATTGCTATACCATTCAAGAGATGAAGTTCATCAGTCTTTCCCTCCATCACTACATAAAAACTGGGCACCCATTTAAGACTCTTCAAAATAGAATTTTAAAGAATCTTCTTTTGTCACTTCAGTGGCTTTAAAGACAGGACCTTATATCTTAATGACTATTTTGGACATTATACTGTGTGATTATAATCAGGTGATTCAGGCCTTATATTAGTATACCATGCTTTTAGTCAGAAAATTGTATGTAGGAATAATATTGAGTTTTGGCCTATTTTCAGATGGAGATAGTGAAAGCTTCTTGAGGTCATAAACAGGCTGAGGCATTTTAATTTATTATTGTTTCTGTGTTTCAAGAGCCATAAAGGATTATTCATCCTCTTTCATAATAAATATTGATTTTTTAGGAAAATTTTTTCACTTTTGAAATTACAAGATTATTCCTTCAATTATGCTGTCAGTAACCTTTATGTAATTCCTTGTTTCTAATAAGGCTATAAAGATTTAATGACAGAATGATTTTCTGTGGAAAAATGAGTGGAACTTCATCTGGTTAGCTCATTTATTGATGATGCACAAAACATCACAGTTAGGATCATTTGTATTATGTGTTTGGTTCTGCATGGCTGGTAGGAATAAATATTAATTAAAGACTCATTCAGTCAAGGGCAAAGGTCATAAATATGCAACAGAAAGAAAATCTTTTGTGGCATTTTTCAAACAAAATTGAATTTTTGTCTGATTCTTCTAATTGAAATACAAACATTAAAAAAGTAATTTAACAGGTGGTGAAACTCATTTGCAAACACAAGAAGTATGAAAAGGAAAAAAGGTTTTTTAAAGGAGCATATTTTTCTGTATGAAATATTAGAATATTCTCCCCAGAAGTTCTCTGGATTCTTTAAGGGTATTCTTGCAGTCGGGTGCACATGGGTGTGGGTTTTCCACTGTGTTTCAGAATTGAGAGTAGGACACTCAAGTTCATGGTCTGGTGTGCAAGGCACGGGACTGCTGTTTACCATGCAGATACATGAAGAATCCAG